GAGGTGGGAGGAGCCAGGCTTGAGCTCAGATCAGCTGGGCACTGGAGGACTTTTATTTTTACCCCTCACTGATCTCATGGTGGAAGCACTTCTGTCTTTAGGGTCAGAGAATGCAGGGTCCAGGTTGCTTTCAGTCCTGCGGGGTCAGATCCTGAGCTCAGATCCTGAGCTCAAACCGCCTGGGTCCAACTCCCCAGCTCACCCCAGGAGCCCACACACCCCTGCTGGGCAGTCTGTCCCCCCACTCCTCCCCAGGTGTATATACCTGTGTGTGCAGGTGTGCAGGGGTGTCGTGCGTGCGTGTGGGTGCATGTCTGTACATATGTGTGCCTGTGTGTATATACCTGCACGTGCAAGGATGGAGTAATGTGTATATGTGTGTACATGTGTGTACCTGTGTGTGTGGAAGTGCTATGTGTGCCTGTCTGTACATATGTGTGCCTATGTGTATATACCTGTGTGTGCTTGTGTGCATGTCTCTATATGTGTGTGCATTGTGTATATGACTGTGTGCATGTGTGCAGGGGTGTAGTGCATATGTGCATGTGTGTGCGTGTGTGTACGGGGGAGTGCTTGCGTGTGTGGGGGAGTGCTTGCGTGTGTCTGTGCATGTGTGTGCATGCATGTGTATACCTGTGAGTGCAGGGGTGTAGTGCATATGTGCATGTCTGGATGTGTGTGTGCATGTGCATGTGCTTTTTGTTTGTTTGTTTGAGAAGGAGTTTCGCTCTTGTTACCCAGGCTGGAGTGCAATGGCGCAATCTCAGCTCACCGCAACCTCCGCCTCCTGGATTCAGGCAATTCTCTTGCTTTAACCTCCTGAGTAGCTGGGATTACAGGCACGCGCCACTATGCCCAGCTAACTTTTTGTATTCTTAGCAGAGATGGGGTTTCACCATGTTGACCAGGATGGTCTCGATCTCTTGACCTTGTGATCCACCCGCCTCGGCCTCCCAAAGTGCTGGGATTACAGGCGTGAGCCACCACGCCTGGCCCGTGCATGTGCTTTTTATGGTCATCTGTAAGGTTTGTGGGCCAAGCTGGGGTGCAAGCTGAGAGGGTATGGGGCTTCCTCTCTTTGGGAACACATCTTCAGGATGGGAGAGCCTGGCAGTTTCCCATAGGTGCGTCTGTATTTATTGCAAGTACTGAGGCAGAGCATCAAAGGGAGATGTCAGGTAACTCAGACCCTTCATTTCTCACAAAAAACCCAAAACTGTCCTTCAGTTGTACCCATTGCCTTTTTATTTTACATTTGTCAGGAGTCATGAACCTAACCAAAAAAATCAAAAAGGCAATACAAGAGTATTAAACATTTGAAAGCGTTTTGAATTTGTGTGCTATGGCATAGCTAAAAAGGAGTTTTATCAACATCCAAATAAGCAGAAAGTGCTCCCAGATTTAGGTGTAGTTGGATGGAAAACTGAACACACTTGATGTGATTTCAAAATGGAGTTTTCTGTCCATAGAGACAACTTGTCCCAGAATGATTCCAGAAAGTGACCGTGAGGGAGGATGTAGCAGACAGGGAAGCGATTCTTAAAGGAGAGGGAAGCCCAGGTGGCAAACATGGCCTTCCTTCATCTGCAAGAAAAGAGTGTGATTGGGTTGTTAAATTTGCATGTGAATATGCCTCGCATGTAAATACCTTTTTATAATGACAATATGCGGGGGCAAGGCTTGTTAAATTGAAGTTCATTTCTATGGAAAGTCAGGAACCTTCTGAGGAGGCTTCTTCGGATACCTTCCAAGCCTGTGATCACACAGTGTGAAAATAATAGCCGTTGATGGAGAAACAGTGGATTTAATGACAGGCAACTTTATGTCTCTGTTGTCCTTAGCAAAGGCAGTGGTTTTCTCTTTCCTGTCCAAAGGAAGCCAGGGCAGGGCTTTGCATTGACTCAGGCCCACTGAGGTGAGCAGGGCGCTCTTCACCGAACACAGCAGGGAAACTACCAGGGAGGCAAAAGCCTGCCCTTCACAAAAGTGATGCCCTATTTTACACGTGTATGCTTAAAACACTCATTAACTGAACTCTGTGGGGAGCTTGGACAGATAAACAGAACAATCTGATCTGTACTTTCAGGCAGGGAAACAAGAGGCTTAATTTTCTTTTTTCTGTTTGTTCAGTTTTAAAGTGAAATTATTTTTTTCCTCAAACTGCTATAAAACCTAAGTTGAAGGCATTTTTAAAAAATATATCTGTTATTGGATTTGGTATACAATTCTGCTTACTCTATAAAGAGTAAAGAAACATAAAGAATCTAAAGAAATTTAAAGAGAAAAGGACCGCCTTTGTGAAAGACAGCACAGACATAAAATTGCCTGTCATCAAAGCCGCGGAGTTTTCATCCGCGGCCATTTTTTCACATTACAGAATCACAGGCTTGGAAGGTATCTGAAGTAGTTTCCTCAGAAAGTCCCTGACATTCCCTAGAAATTAACTCCTTCAATTGTGCAATTTATATTTGCATAAAAATTTCTTCAGCCATTCAATTTGCAAAATATATAAATCTGTCAACTATAAAATATCTCTTAAGCATGTTCTTTTTGGGTATTTGAACCTGTGATGGATACATGATTTTATGTCTGAGTACAAATCCATCATTCCAGTATTAATCTTCAGCTTTAATTATTCAACTGTAGAAGTCTGATAATGATTTCTCTGAGGAAGATTTAAATGTGAATAGTCCATCTTTAATTATATAATATTTCTTCAAAATAATTCAATTCACGTGACTGGCATCTCCCCATCCAGTTTTAGCCGCATACCAGTGATGCACATTTACTCCCAAGAGTTAACAGCATGGCCCTTGGCGGGAAATACGGAGCCACCGTCAGGGCTTGGTGTGGCTCGATGGTGGTATCCAGAAGTTGCAAGGATGTGGCTGAGCCCAGCTCCCGGCCACAGGTGGGCATTCCTGAGCCCGGGGAGCCCCCAGACGGTGCAAGGTGTTGGGGAGTCGGCGAGCTGAAGCCACTCCCCTTGCCAACTGTGGCTCCAGGTCAGGCCCCACGCCCCACAGAGATGGGCAGAGCTGGGCTCTTCATGATGGTGTGAATGGAAAATACATTTCAGTACCCCAAAGCCACTCACTAAAGGTAAGCCAAGCTGGACACTGCGCCAGGCAAACTGCCTCCCATTTTATTTTATTTCTAAATAAGATAGCTACAAAGATTTTTAAAACCCTGCATACCTCTCACGATCTGTCCACAAGGAAACTCCTTGTGGAATTTCCCCTCCCCGAGTCAAGTCGTCCAGACAGAACCAGTGTTCACCTTACACATATTGATTGAGGTCTCATGTGTCCCTAAAACGTTAAAACCAAGATGTGCCCCAGCTGCCTTGGGCACCTGTTCTCAGGACACCCTGCGGCTGTCACCGGCCTGACCTTAACCTTGGCAAAGCACCCTTGAGACCTGTCTCTGATATTTGGGGTTCACTATGGGAATTTGGGGGACAGCCCCAGGTCCTTAAGAAAAGCAGTTTTGGGCCCAACGCAGAGGCCGAGAGGATTCACTTCGCTTGGGCAGAAAGCATTTACAGGCAGGGGTGCTCTGGGGGTCTGGGGGACCCAGGTCAGATGACCCTGCTGGGATTTAGTGGAGTTGCGGAGCCTAGACCACCCTGGCTGGGCCCAGGGAGCTTGCCCTGCAATGGTGAGAGTATGTCACCTATGATGTCTCTCACAAAGGGGTCACCACAGGCTGTGATTAGGGGTTTTCTGAGGGCTCTGGGTTTGGCCATGGACTGGAATCACCGCACAGGAGGCACCAGGAGCGGCTATCCCAGGACTCTCTCTCTGCTGCCTTTGATCTGGGAGAGGGGCTCACAGGGATGTGGAGGGAGGGCGTGACCAGCTGGGCTACCAGGACCTTTGGTCCCCCTCGTGCCCTGAGGCCGGTGGCTGGGTTTCTCAGAAACTCCCAGAGCTCCCACGTGGGTGAGCCTTGAGAGCGAAGCTCAGAGCCTCCACCACCCCCTCACCCACTTCTCCCCATGCCCTCAGAACCCAGATTCCTCCACTAAAACCCGGTGACTCCTGTCATGTTTGCAGTGCCTCTGTTTACCCAGAAAACCCAGAGTGATGCGGACAGAACAGAAACAGCGAAGTCAGTACGTAGATTTATATTATTTATGATTTATTGTTTCTACCCTTAAAATAACCCCCAAAGACAGCTGGGACAGGCAGATCATTTCCACCCCACAGATGCACTTCTCCTGATCCTTGGCAGCTGTGAATGTGTGTGGGTTTGTGCAGAGGAGCTGAGGCTGTGGGGGGAGGGAGTAGAGGTTGCTTCTCAACTGGCTTGATGCGTGGGAGACCACCAGTGCAGCCACAGGACCCTGGCCACACAGAGAGCGCAGGGCAGTGGGGGCTGCTGGAGCTGGAGGCAGAGGCAGGAGCCCTGGGTCCAGAGTGGTGAGTGCCTCCGGAAGTCGGAAACCCCAGGAAAGCAGCTTCTGCCCAGAGCCCAGAAGGTAACGCAGCCTTCACAGCCCCTGGACACTGCATCAGGCTTCCAACCTACTGAGCAGAACGAAGATAGATTTCTGTCACTACAGATCACAGTTTGTAGTAATTTGTCACAGCAGCCATAGAAAACTAATGCAGACGGATCGTTTGCTGGTTTTAGATTTTCACTGCAGCGTGGCCGTGGTCTGAATGTCTGTCCACTCCAAAGCTCCTGTAGAAACTTCATCCCCAGCACAGCAGCATTGAGGGGGGACTTTAAGAGGCGATTGCATCCTGGGGGCTCATGAACGGATTCCTTTATCCATAGACTCGTGGACTAACGGGCTGTTGGGGTATGGGACTGGTGGCTTTACAGGAAGAGGAAGTGAGGGCGCGCTTAGCACTCCCCGTCACCGTGCGATTCCCTAGCGTGAGAGGAGGAAGACAGCGCCAGAATGTCCATTGCAGGCAAAATGTCAGGAGCATTCCGGCAGAGACAGGGATGGTCTCAGAGCGCAGGGGCTGCTGAAAGGAAGGACCTCACACTGGGAGGCTCCTGGCAGCAGAAATGTGTCTCCACAGTCCCAGAGGTCACGTGTCTCAGGCCGCGCTGCCTCTGGAGGCTACAGGGGAGGACCCTTCCCTCCTCATCCACCTTCCATGGCCCTTACGCCCCTGGCCTTGTGGCTGCCTCACTCCACGTCTGCCGTCTCCACATGGCTTCTCCTCTCTGTGTGTCTCGGAGTCAAACCCCCCTGATGTTTTAACACCTGTCGGTGGATTTAGGGCACATAGTCCAGGACACAGTCATCTCAAAATCCTCCACTGGATTCTACCTGCAAAGATCCTTTTTCTGAAGAATTTCATGCTCCCAGGTTCTGGGGGCCATGCAGAACAGCAGGACCCAGGCTGAGATGTCTTCAGTGTGTCGGCTGGAGGTGGAGGTCAGAAGAGAAACCGGATACTGGCAGAGTCCTGGGGGTCCTCCTCCAGACGCCATCACCTTCAGAGGAGAGCAGTGACTTCGAGTGGGGAGCCCTGGCAGGCCCCAGCCCAACCTGGGTGTGCCAGCCTCACAATGGCCTGGGCATGCCAGCCTCGCCGTGGCCTGGGCATCTGTGGCTGCACCAAGAGAGCACCACACACCCCTGCCACGGCCTCTCAAACAGCAGGTGCTTTTGGCTCTGGCGCTGAGGACACCTCCATGAGAAAACCCTGTTCTGTCTGACACTCTGTGTGCAGGAAGACAAGGTGAGTCTGAGGGGACCCAGGTCCAAAGCTACGTGCCGTGTGTGACCCTGGAACGGATCCCGGAGTATCAAGGAAAAGTGCCATTGCCCAGACAGTTGCGGGACGCAAATGGGTCTGTGGCTTTGGCTCAGGAACAACCTGCTGAGGCCAGACACCTGGGGACTTGATTCTTACAATCTGAACACAATTTTCCTGGACCAAGAGTTTGTATTTATTCTTCTGCAGCCTTAAATATTGAGAAGAGAACCTTAGAAATAGAAAGACAGAAACGTATAAATGTACACGGTTCGCTGTCTCCCCATACTGTTCCTAACCTGAAAGTCGCAGTCCATCACCTCCTGAAATCCTATCCATCTGCAGAGGTTTGTTTCAAATCAAATTTTTTCATGGGAACAATTGCTATTTATGTGGGTGCTCTTAATTTAAATTTGATGCATGCTTCTGCCTGTGAATTGGCATCAGAGCCCTTGGCTGCCTCATTAAAAACATCACGCTCTTCTGCCTCATATCCTATTGATCCCTAAAAGACACCCCGTCTTCTTCTTCCCACTCCTGGCCACGCTGCTTCCCTGGCTATTCCTAAAGCAGGCCGGATTACTAAGGCGTTGTCTGCAGGCTTCACACAAGCTGCTCTCTCTCTCCCTCTCCTTCTGGTGTACCCTTCTCCCAGGCGTCTCTGCAGCTGAATGCACCACCACTTCCAAAACCACTAAAACACCACCTTCCCAGGAGTCCTACTAGGACCAACCTATTTCAAATAGCAACTTACCCATCCACAGATGCTCCCTGGCTCCCCCATTCTACCCTGCCTTTCCCACGGGATTCACGGTCTTCTCATGTTGCCATGTATCCTGAGCCACTGTCCATTGCTTGTTTAGCAAACAGATTGTTCAGTCTAAGCACGAACAGCAGAGTGTGGCATGAAGCAGGTGGCAGGTGCAGCTCAGAGCTGAACTTGCTAAAATAACAAACTCATCTTCATCAGCTGCATTTTCCATTGCAGAGTCTCCATCCTGACTGGTGTTAAATAAGGAGGTGTTAAATGGACTTGAAACTAGACCCTTCAGAGTGATGGCCAGTGCACACGTACAACACACGTGCATACACACACTATTGCATATGCTCATATATACATGCACACACACACTAATGCATATGCTCATATATACAGATACACACACTAATGCATATGCTCATATATTTGCACACACACACTAACACATAGGCTCATATATACAGAAGCACACACACTAATGCATAGGCTTATATACACGCACACACACTAACGCACAGGCCCATATACACACACACACTAATGCATAGGCTTATATATACATGCACACACACAGTAATGCGCATATATATATATATATGCTCATATATATACACACACACACACACTAATGCACAGACTCATACATGCACACACACACACTAATGCATAGGCTCATATATATACGTGCACACACACTAATGCATAGGCACGTCCACACAAACCCATGCACACTCACACTAGTGCACATGTACACTTCTGCTTATACAGATATGCATGCACACTCATACAAATACATACATGTACATACAAAGCACACTCATATAAACACATAATACACATACAAAGCACACTCATTCAAACAATGCACACACAATGTACACTCATACAAACATACATGCACACACAGCACACTCATACAAACAATGCACACACAATGCACACTCAAACGTATGCACACGAAATGCACACACACTGCTGCACATATACACATGCACAGTAATGCACATACATATGTGTCCTCTCACACACATACATGTTTCCTCTCGTGACATTCCATCTTCCCCCTCAGCTGACCTCTTTGGAGGGTCCTGGCCACGGTGACTGTGGGTAAACAACTAATCCCTCTTTGGCCGTTGCTCTGACTTTAACATGGAGAGGTGCTAGGACATGCCTCCCCTGAGGTGATGTGGATGAAGACTGTGGTCACATGGAAATGACTGGGAATGGGTCATGGCCAGGCAATGCTGTCCTCAGCTGTGCTGGCTTCAGCAGAGCAAGGGTCTTCACTGAAAACCAGCAAATTTCAGAGCAGCTCTGGCTGTGTGGGTTCACCCGGAGAGAGCAGGAAGACAGACGAGGAGCTGAGGAAGGTAAGACATCCTGGCCTGGCACCTCACTTTCTCCTGCTGCAGGAACAGAGACAAATGGATCCAAAGATTTCCCAGCCTTGACAGAGCTGCTCATTATCGTGGCTCTCGACCCAGGGGACATTCAGGGTGACCTTGTTTTCCTCCTTCCTGCGGTTAAAGACAATTTTCCTTCAATAATTGTTGTCCAAAAGGCTGTGCTTGAGGTGCTTCTGCAGTAGCTGTTTCTTTGTTTTTGTTTGCGGTAGCACCAACGTCAGGCCTGGAAATTAATATTTTGGTCTTTGAAGCTGTAGGTAAATAAGAAGCTACAGAGAGGACTGCCTCTCGGATCACAGTTGCTCGTTACTGAAAATGACCTCCATGGAGATGCAGAAGGTGGGGGTGGGGGGCAAGGACCAAGAACTACACCCTGAGTATGGCGTACACCCCGTGGGTGACCTGTGCAGTAAAGTCTCAGATGTCACTGCTCAATAATTCATCCCCATAACCAAAAACACTGTACACCAAAATGTACTGAAATTTTCTAAAAAACTAAATAAAACTTAAAGAATAAATAAAATGTTCAAAGTGTGTTTGTGCACTGGCTACCAAGCTTCCTGTGCATGGGACCCAACGCGCCAGGGAGCGTTTATTTAGAACACTGAAACCCACTAAAGAACCAGGTGGATTACTTTTAATAACATTTTTAATTTAGCATTCAAAAGTGTTACTGTTAAAACTTATAACTAATAATAAGTGCCTTAGTTAGATATCTCTGTTGTCTTTAAACCTGGTGTGTGTTTAACCCTGCAGCTCATCCCAGTCAGGACTAGCAGCTTGGTACTCATGGCTCCATGTTGTTCATACCTGGATCAGCCAACGACCCCGACCCTCCCCCATGCCGGACATGCCCTGGTCACCCAATCTTCCCCTGTTGTTCACACCTGCGTCGCCCAACCTCCCCATGGCACACATTTCATTACTACATGCCATTTTCTTATTAATAAAATATTGCTGCGAACAACATATTATGCTGGAAGACTCAGATGCACTGAGGCTCACGGAGAAGCCACGAGGCCCTTCATTCCAGCCGCCGACATGGAGAAGGCCCCTCAGTATTGCCCACACCCCTCTTTGCCGCACACTTGGGAGAAGCCTCTGCAGGACGTATGTTTCACCAAGATGAAAACCAGATGCTCGTGTGAACACACTGCTTGACTCGGGCATCCAAAGGAGGCCCTTCCCAGGAAGCAGCTCTACAGAGAGAAAACCTGCTCTCATTTTTTAAGGTAGATGGAAACCATTTTTAATTAAATCATTTTTTCCTCTTAAAAATCTTAAGGCTAATCAATGACAAAAACTAACAAGTAAATTGCACACAAATATGGTCACTTTGACAAATATTATAATAACCTACAATTAAAGATTGCAACTTATAAAATCATAATAATTGCATTTTTCAGTTCTGTGTCTATTGGACTGAAATATCCTATTAATTATTAGTATAATAGGTCAACTCTCACTATTCATTTTTATCAGTAACTGATGTCTGAGCAAAGTTGAAAAAATCAATTAGCTTTTTGTATAGTTTTGATTTCAGTAAGAAAAAATACAGGGAAATTGAAGTTTAACGGAGTTCAATGAATTCTTAGTGCAGAATACTGGTGTAAGGAGTGAGAACTGAGATCTTCAAGAAATGAAATGTTTTAATGATAAAGGTGAAATCATGGCTTCTGATGCTTTATATAGATTCTACCCTGCTCATCATAAGTAGCACTTAGCAGGCTACTCTTGTGTACTTTCCTTTACATGAAATTAGGTCTGACAAAATAAGCTCTTCTGCTCCCACTTTACAGACCATGTAATTCAGCATCAGAAAAACAGTGTGTCCACGTATCTGTGTCTCAGCACAAAGCGGAAATAAATTTACAGGAATTTAAAAATAATCCAAGACACAACCAAAGTGAAATGTATAATTTGGTGTCTAATGTTTTCAGGAATACACAAAGAAACAGAAAAATACAACGTAAAATGACAGTGACGTCATTGAACAGCAACAGATGCAGAAACACCATCTGCAGTAGAAGGACTGGATCAGAGCAGCAGAAGCAGCCGTGAACCTATTTGTTCAGGAAGTTGGGAATAGCATGGATGTGTCAAGAAGGGACATAGACTGCATTTTTCAAAACCCAAATCAAACTTGAAGACATGAAAACTGAAATGGCTGAGGTTAAAAAGCTCCTGTATGTGATGTACACATGATTAGATGCTGCAGAAGGAAAGCTTAGTGAAATTTAAAGACATGGCAAACTAAACCAGTCCAAATAAAACACAGAGAGGAAAATACTGAAAAAAATGAAGAATGAAAGACAGTGAACAGGGCTCCAGTGCACTCTGAGAGAAGCACAGGCCCCCCTCTGGTGTATGAGATGAGTCCCCCAAGGAGGAAGTAGGGGGCAGGGAAGAAAACATGCAAAAAATAAGCAGCAAGGATTTACAAACAGGATTAAAAAGAAAACCCACAAATGCATATGGATTAATTATATCTAAGCTCAGGGAAAAACAATGTATACAAAGCTACATCATAATAAATAAAACTGCCTGAGTCCAGTTATAAAGAGAAAATCATGAGAGCAGTCGGGGAGGGGGCACATTGCACCCCCAGAAGCCAGAACGGCAGGGTCCCTGGACATCGTGGGAGCCACGTACGGCGCAGCAGAATCAGGAAAAGCCAAAACCTGCCAATCTGCAAATCTGCTCAACAAAAATCTCTCTCTAGAATGAAGCAAAATTAAGACCTCTCAAAGACAAGCTGAAATCTGGTCACTGGCTGATTTCTGCTCCAGTACATGGTAAAGGAGGTCAGGATGCTGGGGGCAGCCCCACCACAGAGCTTCACAGGCCCTGCCCAATCCGGATTCATCTGTGAGGTGAGACCGTGACCTGGCCTCCGTTGCCTGCCTGGTACCTGGCACAGCATGGCATCCACCTGCCCCCGGGGCACACACGTGCTTTTGGAAGATTCCTTTGAGCAAATGTAGTCATTGGAGCTGGAAGGGTTTTTGTGATGTGAGACATTCAGAGTTGACAAGGTTTCATGAAAACTTACTTTTCAAATGAGGTCTTTGGACCCTTGAGAAACGAAGCATGTTTTCTTAGGGGACCAAAGATTTTCTTTGATATTTTCTTGATACCTTCATTTCAATAATAATCTGAAAAGTTGTAAAAGTGATTCTTACTGGCTTTTAACAGGCTCTGCTGTCTATGAGGTTTCTCCA